TAGTAATTAGGGAAATGCAAATTAAAACCACCCTAAGGTATTGCCTTATCCCAACCAGACTGGCAAGGATCAAGAGAACAAATGACACCAAATGCTGGCCAAAGGATGTAGAGAAAGGGGATGCAGAGCAGTTCATTCACTGCTGGTGGGACTGCAAACTCGTGCAACCTCTATGGCAAACAGTGTGGAGAACTCTTTAAAAACTAAAAATGAACCTACCAATTGACCTGGTGATACCACTCTTTGGCATATACTCATCCTGTTACAGAGACACCTGTACAACCATGTATGTTGCTACTCTTTTCACAATAGCTAAGAGATGGAAGCAACCTAAGTTCCCCTCAACTGATGAGTGGTTAACAAAAATGTGGTACATTTACACAGTGGCGTTCTAGTCAGCAGTAAAGAAAAATGAAATAATGAAATTTTCAGGTAAATGGATGGACCTAGAAATTGTTATACTAATGAAGTAACACAGACTCAGAAAAATAAAAGATGTATGTCCTCCCTCATTTGTGGATCCTAGCACCAAATCCTTTTAAACTCCATGTCCTTTTAATAAGATGATACTGTACAGCAGTCCCTCTGCATGAAATAACTGCCATCATCATGACTTCAGCTGAGCCTGATTGCTAAACATAGTCACAATTCAGCTTGTTGTCAGTTGTGCTCCTTAATTAAAGGAGGGGCAAGCAGGGTCACTAGGCCCTCACCAGCCACTCTTCCCAGCCAACTGTATGTGATTTGGCCCTAATCATATATGGCCTCCTGGTTTGGGGGAGGGCTAAAGTATACGATCTGGGGAAGGCTAGGAAAAGAAGGCTTGACCCACGCTGGGTAAAGGCTTTCCAGTGTGCATACCCTCAAGTCATACATACACCTCAGCAACCCCTCAGTTATCTTGGTAAGTGAGCTCAGAAAATTCACTGGTTCCCCACAAAAACTTTAATTAAACATGGAATTGACACTAGAACCTTAAAAGGGAATAAGCATTGCTTAGCATCCCCAGGAAAAGAATTCTCACAACAGATGGAAATTTTATTTGTTAATGTTATTATGTCTCATAATTTTTTTAAAAAAAGAAAGAAAATGAGGGCCTGGAGAGATGGCTCAGTGGTTAAGAGCACTGACTGCTCTTGCAGAGGAACCGGGTTCAATTCCCAGAACACACATGGCAACTATGAACCATCCTTAACTCCAGTTCCAGGGGAATCCGAAGCCCTCTTCTGACGTCCATGGCATTACATGACATGGGTGCACTCACACACATGTAAGCAATACACTCATACACATAAAATAAAAATAACAAATAAAATATTTTAAAATTAAAAAAAAAGAAAATGAGAATATAAAAAATGTTAAAAGGATATGGGAATGGAGATATTTTCCAAAATAGACAAAAAGTGAGAAGCCTAAGCAAGTGATGAAGGTCTGTGTAGGTTTGTTATGATATATAAAGGATGAGACAAAAGTAATATACACGGCTGGGCATGGTGGCGCAAACCTTTAATCCCAGCACTTGGGAGGCAGAGGCAGGCGGATCCTTGTGAGTTCAAGGCCAGCCTGGTCTACATAGTGAGTTCCAGGATGGTTGGAGCTACCTGTCTCAAAAAAAAGAGAAAAAATAATAATAATAACAATATACACATAATCTTAAAATTTCTAAGGTCATAGTTTAGTCACCTAGTTTAAGGAACAAAATACGTATCTAGTCAAGGTTTATCTGAGAACATTTGATTTTTCACCCAAGCTTTATCTACATAGCACATGGTAATTAAAAGTACCAGACTGGTGGCACTAACCTTATTGGATGTTTAACAGCCATACTTTGAGGCCTATACTAATCTGGTCAGATGGACTTAAAGGACAGTTTTTGCCCCTTGCCCTCCAGGGTTGGCTAAGTTCCAGGGGACTATGGAACATCTCTCAAAATGT